GGAAAGTTACATATATATATATATATATATTTTATTATATATCTGATACAATAGAAAACATTTTCATTTCAATAATTGTCATTCATGTATCAGAATGTTTAGACACATTTCCAATATTCATATTTATTAGAAATAATGAAATTATTAACATCAAATACATTTAATCACAAAGTACTGCCTGTTCCAGGTTCAGTTTCTCTGTAAAATCACAATCTAAGAAAAAAATTCTTCTCCAGATCAGCATACTTATGATGCTTAATAAACAGACTGTTTCAGTTTTTACGTCCATGTGTCATTTTATACAATGGATTATTTTCTAGATTGGCAAGAATATTTGAATAATACATTTTACAGTTGATTTAATAGCTCTGAAATACTTACAGATATCTGTTTTTTCAGCAGATTTATTATTAGTGTATAAAAAAGTAATTATAGCTGTAATAATAACTACATGCCCGGTGGACATTTTTTTAAAAATAATATTTGCATATTTGTTACAGTATGCAGCTAACTTAGGTATTCCAATCATGAGAGAAGACTGGATCTACAAGACTTGGGAAAAAAGGCATGAGAAATCCTGTTTGGCTACTGATGAATCACTGGTATGCTACAGCTTTTTGTTTAATATTTTTTAGTTACACCTACATTTTTAATGAAAATTGGCACTCAATCTGATTTGTTTACATAGCCATAAAATAGAAAATTAGACCCCTTTTGCCATACCTACCTGTCACATTCTGTCTTTCAGAAATTGACAGTAGTTCTCTCTGAGATTTGATACTATATTATTTACAACCAAAATAAAGCTAATGTTTTAGGCTATCAACTGACATATGTTATATTGTTTTCCATACATAAAATTGTCCATTTTGCTTCAATTTAATACTTTATTCTAATGGGAAACACATTGATGAGCTTATTTGTATTTTGAATGGCTCTTGTCACATAGTTCAAAAGCCAGACAAATTGTGATAATCATGGGACATTGTTTGCATTGTTCTTTGGTGTATTATTTAATTAAGCAAAAAATTATTTAATGCAGTAGTTCCATTTGGATAAAAAGTAGGATTAAGTTTCATTGATGTTCAACTGCAAAAAAAAAAGACCAGGTAAGTACTTTATTTCTTGTGTATTCTTTATTATTATAAAAATAACTAAAATGTAAAAATGAGAAACTTCTTATGTTAGATAAAGGTAGATTAGGTAAAAGAAATAATAATTTTTCATGAAGTATGCTCGTGAGCATCTTGCGAATAGGCTGTGTGTTATGTAATTCGATAGGTAAATGTGAGCTACATGTTTGCCAAGTGATTTGCAAATTTTATGGCAAGAATATTAATTAGATATGGTTCAAAGGGCAATAAAATTTAAGTATAAACAGATCAATAATTCAGTTATTTTGTTTTAGTCTATGATATTCTCTGGTTTGACTTACTATTGCAGATAGATGTGTATGTCAGGCCTGCATGTTATATTGGGTTCAAAGGGCAATAAAACAATAAAATTTAAGTATAAACAGATGTATTCTGTTAGGAGTTTAAAGCTATTTAGGATAAACAAATGTAGCTTCTTGTTGCAATTTGAAGTCATTCCAGAAAGAAAGGGTAATTTAGATTTATTAAATTTTTTATTTTATTGTTACGAGGTCGGTCAAATTGACCAAGTTTGTATAGAATTAGGATATAGAAAATAACTGATAAAATATAAATTATTACTGAAAAAAAAAATTAGAAATTTATTTAGGTTTTAGAGATTACACAAATGAAATTTGAGATGTATCAGATAAAGGATTTTTAATCTTAACATGTAAGACACTTTGAACTAGAAGCAGTCAACACTTTGACTCCATATATTCATGGAGGAATTTTTATTGGAAATACTTCATTAAAAATTCAGATTTTTTTTGTCTACAAATGACTTAGTGATTACTGAAAGCTTCAAAATTTTGTGAAGATTCATAAAAACATATTAGAAGTTATAGTGTAGAAACCATAAAGGTCAAATTAGGTTCATGACCTTGGCCAATTTGACCAAGCCCATAGCTAGAGAGTTAAACGTCTTATATCAAGTGACTGGAAAGTTTTATCTCTAGTCATTTGCTACATGTGTCATTATGGGCTTGCTACGTGTCATTGTAATGAAGATAGTTCACTTGCATTATGTGTCAGTGTTATGAGGATGTATACCCTCACTACAAATGTTAGTGTAATAAAGATTGGGCACTATATGTGTAAGTGTAATGAAGATAAGTTCACTCACTTTTAAAATACTAGTGACAAAACAAACAAATATTAAAACTTTCATACTTTGTAAAATATTACGGTGTTGCATCTTCATGTATCAGGTTACAACATTATTTATTTCAGAGAACATTAATGAATTCTTAGTATATACTATAGACATAGTAGTTCATCTTTATCATGATTAAATATCACCAAAGTTTACTGTTAAATGCTAGATTCTAATTAGTAACCACTTTTTATTCTATTTTCAGGCTGCTTTTCTGCTACCATCCTGAAAATGATATTGTTTATGATGGTAGTGGCCAGGATTTGATCTTAGGTTTTCTTGGTAGAAAAACTGGTATGTTATCCACAAGGACTAGAATCAACTAATTATTTGTTGTTAAAAGCCTTTAATAACAGGTTTGCTGACTTGTATGTGGAGTGAATGTTTTACCAGTTAGGTGGGTGTAGGTTATTTTTTATTTTGTGGTTTGTACTTTGTTATTTTCATATTGTTTTGTGTTAGTCTATGATATTTACTGGCATGATTGACAATTGCAGACAGATGTGTATGTCAGGATTGCATGTCTGTTGGGTTCTTAAATTCTAATCTGTTGAACTGGTTTCTTAAATAAATTATAGTTGACATTCACAAGGGATGTTTTTATGTAAGGGGTGTTCTTCTTCTTCATTGGATTTTTTTGATGGTTTGGTGTGTATTAACTGCAGTCATGCTTTATTGTGGCTTCTGAATATTACTTTAGCTTTATACTGTTTGCATATCCTCTTTACATTTTTTGTGAGACATTTGACATAGGGGAGTATGACTGTGTCTGTAATTTTCTTCTTACTTATTCTTGGTGTTCCTGTTATATAATTTGTTAATGATTGAATATTCAGGGCATCCATTGTCAATGAGGGTTTTAGTGATGTGTTTTTAGTCTTTCTTCTTTGCATAAGCTATAGTACAAATTTTGATCTTTTGAGAAACTAAGCAATCTGTCATGCCCATCTTTACATCTTGCTTTACTACCAAGAAGATCCATGATCAATCCGAGCCACCACAAAGACAGTCTTTTTAAGGACTACCCTGAAAATGGCAGCAGATTAGCCGTCAAAATTTAGGATATAAACTAGTTAGTATCTAAAAAAGTAAATAATTAATAATTTGAGACAATGATTATTATGCAAAAGCCACAACTTTACTACATGACAGGAGTACATATATAATACTTATCCTTTAAGATGTTTTTAAACTATTATTTTAAATTTTTAATACACTTCATTCCACCCAAGAACTAGTTTGTAAATTTGATGGATCTAAAAAGTAGTTTGAATTTTTTGGTATAATTTCAGATGGAACTAAGACTTCAACCTTTCTTTGGATGTAGGCTAACATTCTTAGGTTTTCAAGAGGATGAAAAAAAACACATGGAAGAAATAACAGTTCAAAATGGTAAGTGAAATGAAAGATTGATGTAATTCAAAGTTTTAAGTAGATATGGATCTAGTTGAAAAAATTATTTTTACTTTTATCCATTTTGTATAGAAAAGTGTTTTTAGTTATCATTGTTTTCAGTACTTAGTTGAAAACTAATATCTTGTAAATTTTTAAAGGTGTTTACACATATGTAACCCATCCTTTGTGTTTGATTGGCACCATTGCATTAATGCTCAAAAGCATCCAAAAAATGAGTTTTGAGAGGGCCTGTTAGAGGGCCCATCAAGTCTGTCATAATGCCTACTGTTTTAGGTCGATTATCAGTTCTTTTATTCTCATCAGGAAATAAATATGTTTGAATTCAGATCCTGTTATTATTAGTGATGGCATTTGCCATGAAATAAGTGGTTGTTTGTAAACAAAGACAAGCTAACAGATGACTTTGTGTAACCCTGTTGGCAACTATGACTCTGATACTTTAATTTTAATTAGCTTAGACTATTGATGTTACATGTGCATTAACCCTTTCGAGATGGGTCATAT